AATATATAGTGAGTAGAAAGTACAGATAATTCTGTAAAAATGTAATGAGTAAAAGTAAAAAGTATGCTGAAAAATAATTACTCAAGTGAAGTAACCAAGATTTCTCCTTATGTACAGTAACAAAGTATTTGTACTTAGTTACTTTACAACTCTGCTTGTGTGTACAACTCTGCTAAGTGCATTTTTTTGACTTAATGTTAAGATTTCCAAACCAGCAGAGAGAAAATGTCAGCACAGACTCAACATATGATTTATAAAACAGAATCATCATTGGCTTAACCTGAAACTTTGCCAGTTTTCTCAAATAAAACAGTCGCTGTTGTCCCTTTTTTTTGCAGGTTCTCTGAATGACAGGTAAGTTTTAACTTACTATCCAACACAGTGCCAAGATATTTATAATTTTCTATTATCTCCACTATCTGACCTTTAATTACTGTTGGTTGATTTGTAACTCAAAAAACCACTCGTTACAACCGAGGTCTGCAGAAGAGCATCTCTGAACACACAACACGGGGGGCTACAGCAGCAGAAGACCACACCGAGTGCCACTTCTGTCAGCTAAGAACAGGAAACTGAGGCTAAAATTCACACAGACTCACCAAAACTGGACAATAGAAGATTGGAAAAACATAACCTGGTCCGATGACCTGGATTTCTGCTGCGACATTCAGATGGTAGGGTCAGAATTTGGCGTCAACAACATGAAAGCATGGATCCATCCTGCCTTGTATCACCGGTTCAGGCTGGTGGTTTTTATTCATGTTTTACAAAATGTCCCAAATTCATTTTTATTTTTATGCAATCAGAAGAACACTGAACAACAGTGAGAACTGCACTGGATTTCACTTGCATCATTTATCCATTCAGCCTTAATTAAAAATTGAGTGTTTTTATCATTATAATAACAGGAAATGAAATATCCCAACATTTCAGTGTATCGATATTTCCTTACACCCCTAGTGGTAGCTGAGGGTCATCCAGGACTCAAAGTGCTAACAGATTGCACAAGACCTTTCTTTGAACCTTCGCCATGCAAGGTGGCAGGAAACACACATTCATTCAAGTAAAACTAGTTTTATTTTAAAGGAGTTCCATTGTTGAAAAAAAGCAACCACCTTATATTTTAAGTCAGCCGTTCCCAACCTTGCTATTCCTAGAAGTCGCCCTACCTTTGTACTGTACAAACAGCAAAGGAATGAGTCATTCATTCATTACCATATTACCATAAAATGTAATAAATACCATTTATTTTCAAATAATTATAACCATTATGATATTCTTTTAATTTGTCGTTAAATTWTTCAATATTTTGCGCAACATATGTTATGGTATATCATGAGGCACTCCAACTAAAGACTGACCAGTTCATCAGACACTGGTTACGCTTTTAACAGGATTTGCAGCCCTGACTCGTGAAAAAAAAAAAAAAAGAATGGTGAGTATTTTGTGAATTTATTTCTCTTTTTTCCTCACAGGTGTTCAGTCTTTGGCAGCCGTGCTATGTACAGTATTTGTACAATCACTCTGACTTACAATGTAGACAATCTTGTTTTCCAGTGTTTCCATAGCTCCAGCTTCCCTTCATTACTCACTCAGTCAGAACAAAGATCTTGTACATTCTGTTGGCATTCAGGGGATTTGGTGGTGATGACTCAAACACTCAAACCTCGTGTCCTCACAGCTCTAACCATCGCGTGTTTTGTCAGAAAAAGCGCTCGAATCCGAAAGTAAAACTGACCTGTGAAACTGCTGGAACAGGTTCATGGGGATGAAAGTCAACAAGCTGTATTTGGTGGTTCGGATGGCGTTGCCCTTGTACTTTTTGGATACAGCTTCGTATTCCTGTTGGTGGGGGCCGTGGCGGGCGAGCACCGTCCTCCTCTTCCCACTGAGCCTCTGCGGGGAGCTGTGGGAGTCCAGGTAGCTCTTATTAGGGAGGCCATCAGGCGAGGAGTACCAGCCTCGCTCCGAGTCTCCGGCCAGCAGCTGTCGACAGCGATGCTGCACCCAGTGGAAGCGCTCCATCTGCCCAGCAGGAGCTGCAGCTGGGCCTCCCCCCCACC